CCCCAAAACCCCAAAACCCCAAAACCCCATTAATCAAATGGCATAAACGACAAGGATATTAATTAAATTAAGATAAAATTCAATGATATAAAATATCATTCATTATTCGTCTCTCATTTTATTAAGCAATATTTTGTTCTTTATCTACTGAACTATGTCTTCCATTTTAGTTTAAAGTTGGCAAGTACTATGATTGATTTTGAGACATCGGGGCGTTTGGTGTCCCCAAATGCCTGGATTTTTATGAGTGATTGAACCGACGGGATTCAAGTTGTCTGTGCAAGATTTATCCTAGCTGATTTCCATAATAGACTTATGCATCGTTATTTTAGTTAGAGTGAACTAGTAATGCTGAATTCCTAAGACTAGAAGTATTAACTGATAGTCTTTTAGTTGATAAATATTCAGAATTCTTGCTTGAGTTTATCTAATCCCATAGATTACTGAGTTATTTAGGAGTTTACGTCATGTTGCTTTCTTTAACACTCCAGTTCACAATGTCAAATTTATTTCTATTCTGCATACTATGCTTTTGCTCTCCTCTTTTAACTAATATATATTTAATAAAAGCACATTACTTTTGGCTTAATCAGATCTTTGCATTTAATTAACTTGGTCGGTATGTATCTTAGTTTCCATTTCATATCTAGCATATTTCTTCTATTGGTTCATCTTCATCTGATTATCATAAAGTTTGTCGTATCTCTCCTTAACCGGAGAATTTGTTTAAGAATCTATAGTGTGTCATTTTTGATAAAATGAAAGTAATTACCTTAATTTTTTCTTTTTATTTTAAGATAATCAACTGTCCAAGTTTTTTAAACAGGTCCTGATTTCTAACTCTCTTACTCTTAAATAAATTGATTAGGTCCTTCTATTTTATTTAGTAGAAGATAGGTGTCTACAAAGGGCATATTACTCTTTTAGGCTGAATTATAAATGACCTTGCTGTCTATAATGGACTTAGAGCTGTTTAATTGTAGATTTTTCTCTAAAATAGGCAAGTAGCGAGACCTCCTACTTTTTATCCTATCCTGCATATCATTCATCGATGCATTACCATTTATTATATTATAGCCAGCAAGGGAATCCTTTGATTTTCTTATTACGATTTTATTGACTTTAAGATTTGCCTCACTACTTATTTATTTTACAAATTATGTTTTGAGTTCTGCAAGTCGCTTATTAGAATGACTCAGATTTTTGAGATTTTGACTAGACTGCAGTCAAGTTGAGTTATTGAACTCTTGCTTGGCAGACATAAAGTCCTGGCCGTTAAAGTTTTTGAAATCTTATATAATGGGGTCATATGATTTTTGCTATTCCATTTTTAGCTATAGTTGGGGCTAAAAATTATGATGCAGAGGAGGCTTTTGTTAATTCGACATTTTATTAATATTCGATTTTTTTACAGTTTAAGAAATTAGATCTTCAAACTTTCTATGAGAAGTAAAATGGATCATGGGGTTTTGGGGTTTTGGGGTTTTGGGG